CAACGACAACCACTGACCTACAGATCCCAGACGAGACAGGCATATACAGAATGTGGCGGGGTTAGACATGATTAAAGGCGCCAACCCTCCCATAACCAGGCACAGTGATGTAACGGCACAACATAAGAACAAATTATAAAAAATCAGTTGAAAGGACTTAACTCATCAGATCAATACAAAGCAGAAAAACATTTAACAAAAACACAGACCGGACGTGGCAGGGAATAGGGAATTTATTTACCTCCCCCCCCCCCCCCCCCCCCCCCCACTACAAAAAAAGACACAAAGATCTGAGAGTACTCGAAGTGACTGACAGCTAGTTCAAAGCCAATAACAACTAATAAAAAAAAATGTTTGTAAGACTAAAATAGTCAGTACACATCCAACATCCAATGGATTTAGTGTAAAGTCGTCATTAACAATCAGAAATATCTGGTATATAGTTATCTACAGATGGTAGAACCGTGAATGGGCATATGTGTATAACAACATTATTTAGTATGGTTTTAATTACTGATAACAAAATCAATATTTATACCAATAAAACAATATTCAAAGATCTAATTACAGTGTTGAATTGGTAACCTATTAGAATAAGTTCTTAAAAGAATTGATAAGTTTACCCGGATCGTATCTAAATTTATCTTATCGTATCTAATAAACAACATCACCGTAAAAATTAGGATGCACTATTCCGTTTGAAACAAGTATTTTACAGGTACCAGTATAGTTAAGTTCCCATAGGTCCACCTCTTTATGCAATTAATTTTATTTGAATCAATTGCGTAAGAGCAGTTGTGTACGAAAGTCGTGATCTAAATTCTTGATGATCCAAACTCCTTCCAGATCAAACCAAAGACGTGAAAATGAAAGGAATCCTTCAAAATTTGCTTCTAATGGCTATTTGTTATAATGATAATAATAATAATAAATTCTTTATTTTCAGAAGGTTACACAGTTAACAAAACAATTAATCCGCCCCGTGGCCTTCTAATCTACATAAGCGAGGGCATCCAAATGACATGGTCTACATAAGTGAAGTTATATATCAAAAATAAATACGCTATAACTTTAAATAAACTTAACATGCATGACGTCTTTTCACTAAATCCATTGGATGTCGGATTTGTACTGATTGATATTTTAGTCTTAAATTCATGATTTTTTTTATTAGTTGTTATTGGCTTTGAACTAGCTGTCAGTAACTGCGAGTACTCCCAGATTTGTACTTATTGTCATTTTTGTTGTTAGGGATGGGGATGGATAAATACCCTGCCACATCCGGCCTGTGTTTATGTTTGATGTGTTTCTGCTTTGTATCGATCTGATGAGTTAATCCTTTTTCAACTGATTTTTATAGTTTGTTCTTATGGTGTGCTGTTACACCACTGTCCCAGGTTAGGGGAGGGTTGAGCGCTCACAAACATGTTGAACCCCGCCACATTCTTTATGTGCCCGTCCCAAGACAGGAGCCTGTAGTTCAGTGGTTGCCGTTGGTTCATGTCTGATATATTTATTTTTCGTTAATTGTTTAGTTATAAATTAGCCCGTTAGTTTTCTCAATTGAATTGTTTCATATTTTTCATGTCGGGGCCTTTTATAGCCGACTATACGGTATGGGATTTTCATATTGTTGAAGGCGTACGGTTACCTATAATTGCTTACATCAACTTTATTTGAACTTTGGTGGATAGTTGTCTCATTAGCAATCATTCCTCATCTCCTTATTTTTATATGCAAGAGAATGCACACAAGCAAGGAGAATCTTTTAACTGCCTCCACACTTCACGAAAGACAACCTCTTTCAATGGAGTAATGGAAGAGAAAGCTATGTTTTAGGTGTCGTTGCCCATATTATATATTATTGCAGAAATAATAAAACTATATCTGAAACGTTTGTCAACACGCTCTTTGAATTATCAATATTGATTGTCATTTTGCCTGATTAGAAAAATTCTAGGCAACAAAAGCGACGTCCATGAGTGAACGGGACTTTCGATTGAAGCCATGTGCTTGTGATTGAAGTGAATGTGTATGTTAATTACCTGGTGAAGCCAAAAATAGAAATCGCTAGATTGTTCAAACTGTAGCAACATAATGGCTTATTGAGCGGAATGACTAGACGCAGATTCAAAGCACTATAACTATTTGTTGAAAATGGCTTATAAAATTAATTCTTCCTAGGTCCACAAACAGGGGTATCAACACCATGGTAGAAATACAAAAAACGGTACCAATTTTACTGCATCAGGTGCGTATTTCTACAGTTAGAGTCTCTTTAGTGATGCTTGAAGTCAAACATTTGAAAATTCAATATCAAACGTTATTCCTCCTTGACAATAAACTTTAGACAACAATCGAATATATAACTTGCTGTTGCTTACAGATCCTGTCAAAAAATATTGTTCTATCATAAAAGGTTTCATTTAAAAAAAAAACCGTATTGATACTATTATTTTCCAAGATTAAGTAAAGTAACATCATACAGGCTGTATTTGGCAGATGTCAAAATAAGACAGGATGTTATAAAGAAATATATTTACTATTAAGAAATTACCATTTAAAAAGATATTGACTTTTCTCCTACAGTACAGCATGCAACCAAATAAGTACTTCAAGTTTGAAATCAACAAAGGTTGTATGACATTGCACTTTATAACCCTCAGTGGAAAATTTCAAAGTTTATTAAAAAGGAAGTCTGATTCTAATTATATTTTGATTTAGAAGAAAATATGATGACTCATATATTCAATAATGAAAAAAACTACGATAAAGTTAGTCTTTACCTTTTCCAGAGATCTATGCGGCAAACCACGTATGAATTGTTCTGCCGATAATGTATGGGAATCACGCAATCAATGTTTAACATGATAAATACAAATATCATATATTTAGCATTAATATTTTCTCGTGTTATAAATTGAAAATAAGTTCAGTTGAAATTCACAATCGTTATAACTTGTTCCATCGACGGTATCTAAGACTTGTTAAAGATCGAAGTCTAGATATGAAAGTCGGACAGTTCAGTTCTTTGTTGTTTCTTATACTCTTAATTCTACTTGACTTGATTCCATTGAATGAAAGTCAGAGAAGGGCTAGAGGACGACGTACAGGTCGTCGTAGATCATCAGGAACTCGATGTAGACCAACTACAGCAGACATTTATGGTCCGTACTACCGTCCTAGTTTTCCTAGGCTTCAAAGATTGTGTAGTCGTGATGCAGCAAGATATAGGCAACATGCATTAATTGTAAGTGGATATGTTTACGAAAGAAACTGTAGAACTCCAATTCCCCGAGTACGACTTGAAATTTGGCAAGCAGATCGAAGAGGAAAGTATGAGGGTAGTGCAAGGTGTAGAGGTTTTCTACAGACCAATAATAATGGCTATTACCGATTTTTAACAGTACATCCTGGAAAATATCAGGTTTCCTATACAGAAGCACGGAATATTGCCCGGATGAACAACCGGCCAGTTGGACATCGATGGAGACCTGCGCACATTCATTTCAAGGTAAATGGCAGGAGAGGACATAAATCTTTAGTTTCACAAATGTACTTTGCAGGTGATGCACATCTGGGTAGAAATGACACATGCATAATATGCAATTCAGAACATTCGGATTTAGTTGTGCGTCCAAGACGATCTTGTCGGAGAAGTGGATGTGTCAGTCATGTTAATTTCAATATTGTTCTAGACAGAGGCAATGGACTATCAATCGCTCGAGGTTAATGGTAAGAATTTGGAAGGACTGTATATACTTGTTATAACATATCCAAAGGATTATCACGTCTAATAAATAAGGTTGGGGTCAACGATGTTTTTTTGCTTTAATTTTGAGTTATTTATAAGTTGAATATTGTACATTTTGTTTACAACCTTTACTTATGATATCAGATGAGTGTTTCCTAATTGTCAATCACTGTTATTTTAAAAGTGGGTTAGTGTTGTTTACAACTATTTGTTCTTATTTAATTTATTTCAAATTAAAGTATTAAAACTGAACAATAATAGTTTGTATCAGACTTAAATAACACTTTATAATGTGCGTGCGTCCGAAGCGCTTTTCTGTATTTTGCTTTATCAGAAACGCTGAAACCTAAACATTTGAAAGCCAGGGATGTGTCAATACGTAGAAACGTTTTCGGTTCGACCATGACTGCTAATTCTGTGTGTTACAAAATTTATAAACAAAAAATACCATCACAAGTTTACTGCTTTGTGTCATGGTCTGGTATAATGTTGCGCTATTGTTCGACTGCTCTATTGCTTACACACTTTCATTTCCTAGTTTATAAAGTGCGTACGTCCGAAGCGCTTTTCTGTATTTTGCTTCATAAGAAACGCTGAAACCTAAACATTTGAAAGCCAGGGATGTGTCAATACGTAGAAACGTTTTCTGTTCGGCCATGACTGCTAATTCTGTGTGTTACAAAATTTATAAACAAATAATACCATCACAAGTTTACTGATTTGTGTCATGGTCTGGTATAATGTTGCGCTATTGTTCGACTGCTCTATTGCTTACACACTCACATTTCCTACATGTAAGGCGAAGTACTGTTATAAAAATTGAAAACAACACGTTATAAATTTCATGCTTCCGAAGCGCTTTTCTGAATTTACCTTCATCAGGAATGCTCAAAGCTTTAGATAGAGGTTATAAGGGGATATCTTAGAGATAACACTCCTGTGACATACTAAAACATTTATTTATCAAAGGAATACAATGTTGCTGATTTCTTTAAGTTTGACTCTAATACATGATTTTCTTAAAAAAGGAGCAAATGAAATCACGTCTTGCAACAAGACTAAGTTCGTTTTCTTTTGTTTCTATTATTTTCAGATAATGTAACTTAATTATATATTTTGACAAGATGAGAGTCATTTTTTATTACTAAATTTGTTTAAATCTTTGTAACCTTATGGAGCGCTCTTATCAACATCAGTAGAGGAACCTGTTGTACAATTTTAAACAGTCAAAATCTGAAAGCACAAGTGAAAATAGACAAATCTTTTATTCATTATAGCAAAACCACATATAAAATAAAATACCGAAAACAACATACAGTATAAAAAATATGTCCTCTTTGCAAATATAATAACCCATTTGAAATGACAGAAATTAATTGTGGTCTTTAAGGAAGTTCGTTTTAGTTTTAATTTTCAAACGAGATTTTGAAACTTCCGTATAAGGACGATGTGGCACTGCGGTTGAATTAGCATTTATGGTAAAATATAAAACTTTTTCATTTTGGAATAATTTTGGATTTTCAAATATTTTGCCTCGAGCATCATTGAAGAGACATTTATTGTCAAAATGTACATCTGGTACAGTAAAATTGGTACCGTTAATGTTAATAGATACGTGAGATCATTGGAGGAATTGATTCGTTCGTGTCCAGTAATAGATTATTTACGTCTCTTTATTTACACATATTTGTAAACATGGTTGTGTTGGTAAATTGAAAAAAGGTATTTCTAACACAATTGCATTAAAAATATATCACGACGCACAGTATTTGATACAACACATACATTCAAAAAGGTGTAGAAGAAATTTTAAAAGATTTGATTAATTTGAATGCGTTCTATAAACTCTGATCTGTTTGTTGTTTATGACCATAAGCTTCGTTTTGTCTGTGCTCAAAGCAATTCCTAAAGGACTACTTATTCCATCCCGTTTAGCATACATAGTTATGCTTGATTTATCGGTTCTTGAAACTCTGATAATATTGGACGAATCACAACCTGCGACGTATACGTTTCCACGGTTGTCTGTTGCGATTCCAGTGCTTTCGCGCAAATCAGAACCAGAATACAGATTTTGGCTAGTTCCATTTGGTAGGATACTGTTGACATTGTTATTGTTATAATTGGTCCAGAATATTACACCAGTTTTATTGCTTGTTATCATGTATGGGTCGTACCGTGTGGTGATTCGCTTTAGTACTTTTCCTTTAAGATCAACCACACTTACTTTGCACTCGTCGTTCACTACAAATATTTTGTCCCCCGTACAACTTATGGCAGTACAATGTCCACCAGGGATAATCATAGTTCCCGGGGATAAAGTTCGTAAATCTATCATCATGATACCGCTGTCTCCACATGTTACTAACGCGTGAGATCTATCAAGGACACAGGCGTCTTTTGGATTGTGTCTTAATTTGATTTTTTTAATATTTGCTCCGTTCATTTTACAGACGTATATAGTTTTGCTTTTATTGTCTGGTATAAAGAGTCTGTCATCTGGTAAAAAGCAACCTCTTATAACATCAACATTATTTCCAAATACCGATGTTTCAAATTTGCTTATTACTGGAGACGGAGGTTTATCATTTCGAGATAATAATGGAATAGCGAAAGCTTTTCTATGGGTAGAAGACATCAAAGCCGGCGATTCTCTGATAGATATCTTCCCGTACGACATGACGAGTCTTTTAAAGTCTAGTAGTATTCTGGACTGCTCAAAGTCAATGTTTGAAGTTTTAGAATCTGCTAGGCGCTTTTGTACAGAATCCTCATTTGCTTTTTGTCTAGGATGCAACAGCTTCGCCATAGAAAACAGATGAACACTAGAAGCGTGATTTTTCATTGCTTTTATTTCACGAGTCCAATCATCCAAAGTTTCTTTTTGCTGTAAATATTGTTGCCTTTCCTTATCAATTTCTTTCACACATACTTTATACTTTTCCATAAGGTCATTCCCGAGTTCATTCTCCAACTTCTCAAGATACGCGTTTATGCCATTTCGAATTTGCTTGATCTTCTTCTTAATTGTTTGTTTTTGATCATTTAGTGTTGAGAAATTATCTGCATTCACTTTAAGCATATCTGTAACGACTAGTTTTAAGTTTTGAATTCGCGATTCCAAAGAACTCAGAGCGTATCCAAATTTGGCAGTATCGGCAGCTTTTTCAATGAGCTGTACATTTTGGCATCCTTCGTGGGATTCCGGAATACATTTAGCACAAATGACCTCGTCGTGTTTTTGGCAAAAGTGAGAAAGCCGTTTGTTGTAGTGATGGTTGCACGTGCTAAACATGTTGTTATAATTGATTTTGCTGATAAATTTTCATCAACCCTATAAAACAAAAAAGAAAAATAAGTCAATCAAATTATATATACCAAGAGAAATTTTCGGGTGTTAAAACAGATAAGCCGTGGCGGAAAAAGAGCTAGTAGTGATTTCTGGAAACCAGTAAGAAATAACAATAAAATACATGTTTGTTGAAAAAGAAAAGGAATCATCTTTTTTAAATAGCACTTGATCACTTGGAAGACATTCATATTATTCTATTACTATAAAGCCTCAAGCATGAAAAATAAGTGAAACAAAAGATTATACTAATTTTACAGTTATGATTATGAAGTGACAGAAGGAGATATGAGTTTATTTATTGCGATCTAAGTAAAATCTTCTTTACATATATATGTAATATATATCAGAATGCGAGTTCTTATTATTGCGACACTCAAGGAGTCGCAATATTCGCATTAATAAAAACCTCGCATTAATTTCTGAATTTACGGTACTTTGAAACTAGAATAAGTTTGGCAACAAAACAAGCCATTCATGTAGCCCATGCTGCTTGCATTTGCAACAACTGCTTTCCTATGGGTTTTTTTCAACAAATGTTGTACATATATTTTGACATTTGGTGCGTGAATGACAGAATTTACCAGAAGAGAAAATGTAAAAGAAATAACCAAACAAATTGTAGCACAAAAACAAAATGGTGGTAATTTTCTCACTAAAAAAAAAAACGAAACCTGAAACCGAAAACGACTAACAATCTTCACTTTTAATTGAGTTCTGTTAATTTTGTTTGAAATCATTTCAATGCATAAAACAGTAGAATCATTAGAATGGAAAATATGAAAAAAGAAATACAACTTGACGGTCATGAACACCAATAAGCATGACAAAGTGCACATGGTTATATATATCAAATTAATAAATCGATTGTCGTATGTAATTGAATCATAAACATATTTCTACATATGTAGCAATTCATCAAAAATTTTGTAATTAACCAATTTACAACATTTACAAAGATAGAATATCATTTTTAACCAAAATGAAGCATAGTTTTTCTTTCAAAGTCAATTTTTTTTTTGCATAAGAATATAATAAAACTGTCAAATTTCTTTTGTCAATGTGTTAAGATTAAAATCATGTACTTGAGAAATGATGTATTATACACATTTTACATACTGCATGCATATAATTAAGACAAATTACTCTTCAGTTTTTATTTTGTCATTCTTTTGCCGTCCATATAAATCCAGTAATACATAATAAATACGTCCAGTGGTAAATATGTCATGCATATTCACAAGAACAAACAAACAACAAACAAACAATAAATCAAGCCGGTATGTTCTCCAAAGTATGTCAAACGCGACGAAGGGAAATTCAACTGCAAATTGAAAATGAGGTTATATTGAATAGGAGCACAACATTTTGCCTCGAAACAGACCATCAACGGACCCTTTTTATGTGAGGGGTCTTTAACGTGCAGAGTAGGGTGGTAAACATGGCATCAGATTTAACGTCACCATTCCGACCTGACCACATGGCTGCTTATTTATAGATCCCGTACAGCCAGACGAACGCCTCTCCCTAGTATGGGGTTTTACTGTTGGGTGGTAGAAGTACATGGATGACTTCATTTTTATATTCTAGTCAACACTATGCGTTTACAAACAAAATTAGTGTGTATGGCATTGGTGGGACAACAAATACTAATGACAGTTTAAGGATAAAGTTACCCTATTTCAAGATAGTAAAACAATGCATATCTTGATTTTTTACAATTGTTTTTTTTTTATTTAGTGTTGGTTATATACGTGGCCAGATAGCCATATTTTATGATTAAGTAAAGCATTGTGCTAAAACTGTCTCGCATTGAAAGTCTAGTCATTAAAACTCGCTAGATAACCTTACCTTATAAAGTTCATAAATTCAACAGGCCAGCAATAAAAGTAATTATAACTGCAAATAAACACTAAAATACTGTTACAAAAATGTCGACTTTCTGTCTTTAAGTCGTCACTGGTAACGAACGACTGTTTACTGGTTTGTTACGGTGTTAACGAAAGCATATGAATATATGCCGATTAAATTACAGTTGTATGAATAAAATCAAACGTTGCATATAGAAATTAGACCTGTAACAATACTACCATTCACATTTTCTACCGACTATAAATGAAATACTAATCTGACAAAAAGACGTCACGAAAGAGAAGTGATATGGTGTATAAGTTCATGACTTAAAATTCCATAATCGCACTGGACAAAACCATAAAGCAAATAAGCTATGTCTTTACTGCTGTTTTTCATTACAAAGTCGAAGTGAAGCCTTCATGGAGAAAACAAACTGTGTCTTAAAATAGGCACATCATACTGAATCTTTGTACAACACATATTCCTAAAGAAAAGCGTAAACCAAATAATTTTTAAAATCAAAGACGTGTCAACTCTTTTAGGCGCATTACATTTGAGCCAGTTGGGGATTAAAATTTTTCACGTTTGCGCGCAGCTTTTTATTGCATTTGACAGGTAATACAGGTATATATAGAAATAATTCTAAATCTATCGATAGTTATTAATTTTGAACCAAACTAAGACGGCTTGATACACCTGCAGTTGTATGTAGAAGTGAGAAAGAGGAAACAAAGTATCTGCTGAAGCAATTCCGAAATATCAGAATAGAGAATTTGACAGAAAGAATTTTCTTCATCCAGTAAGCTTCAAATATTCAGCACGTACCGATCTATGGTTTCGGTACTGGTACTCTTCAGAATTGCTTTGTTTTTAAAATTTTCATCTGTATATATTTCCGCAATCTCATTGAAATATAGATCTATGATTTCGTTATGCTCATATGATTGCTTCGACGAATAGTTAAATAAATTAACGAATAAGTATAATTTACCTGTATTTATCTTAATTTACCTGTGCTTACCAATAGACCTTTTCAACAATTGTCTATACCTACAGTTGAGAACGACTACGACATGTGAGATATGAGGGGTCGTCTCAAAAAATAAAATTTAAAAATATTATTGATCGCATATGATTATTTTGATTGCCAATGAGGCCACTATCCAACATGACGTGTATATAAGCAATTGTTGTGTACCGTACCTTATTTTGTTTATTAGGTATTTGTTTATCAAAACTAAATTTATTTGTGAATTGACTACGAAGAAAAGGAAGGACTTCAATGTTTCATTTCTTTTAGACGTCGAGTTGAAAAATGAAAAAAAAAAATAAAAAAAAAAATACCTGTATTTTTGTAGTAGATGTTTAATTAATCAATGTTTTATATCTGTTGACTAGGGCGGTACATGTTTCTATAATGTCTGTTAATTTTGGCTTCCAATGTCTCAATGGTACTCATAACAAAATAGATACCAAGATTTTTAAAGGCCCTTGGTGTCTCTTCTGATTCAGATTCAGATTTAAATCGTAAGCTTTTTTTTTTTCGTTTTCTTGCTATTTTTTATGACTTCTGCAGTAGGAAAAAAAATCACACAATGCAACATATAAAACAGACATTCAGTTACCGCATAGTCTGCATTTTGGTTAAAGACCCCAATCTCCATCCCTTAAATCTCACCTATGTATGGTCAGAGATGAAATTTAAAAACCTTTATGCATGGAAAAAATAGAAAAGAGTAGAAGACCAAAGCTATGTCATGAAAAGGGGAAGGGTAAGCAGTTCTCGCTTCTTGCAAGACACACGAAGGTCATTTTCCAGGAACAGGGAAAGGAAAGGAAAGGAATCTACGACAGGAGAAAAAAGTATGTTCACGTCTTTCGGGACACGGACAACCTATAACGGTCAATCAGTTCGGCGCTGTCAAAAAGACACTGCAATGACAACAAGCTCTGTTGGGATATAAATACCATACGCATCACTGAAGAGACATTAATTGTAAAAATGCGCATGTGGCGCAGAAAAAAATGGTGCCGTTAATGTAGGAAACATCTCAATTTTAACATGGTATCTTAAAGCGGAGTAGTCTCTCGTAACTAAATTATCGATGTGGCCTTTTCCTTTGACCTTTAAACAAATAGGCTTTTACCCCTCCCAAAATTGAATGTGTACAACAAGTGACGTGACGAACGGTTGAGAAACACAACTCTGGCGGACGGACGGTAGTCCTGTTACAATGTTGCTTCAGCAAATTTCATAAATAGCATTACAAAAGCGAATTAATCGCAATTGGCATGTGGAACAATCTGCGTTGACAGACTCGCTTATCTAAATACTCACATAATAATGAAATTTAAGAAGAAAAAAAGGCAGATTATGTGAATTGATTGCAGTAATTATTTACTTGAAGGTTTAATAAATTCAACGTAAAACTACATGTAATAAGAATGCTATACAAAAGAGAGAGATATAGTTCATATTTGTTTGAAATATGTTCTTTCGTCAAAATAGTGTAAAACGATAAATCGAAGGTGTAAAAATAATACTATTCATGAATGATTTTTAGTTTTGAGACGACCCCTTCATTTTACCTGTAAACTGCAGGTGTCATTAGTCGGTGTCGAGAGTTATTGAAAAGGTCTAATAGAATGAATGCGCGCAAACGTAATGATTTGTGTGCGCAAATATACTGCACAGACTCTTTTATATATACACCAATTATCATATTATTTGTTACGACATTAGACATAAGTTTGTAATTTCATGACGGTTAATCAAAGCCGAGCAAGCTATGATACGCGTACTCAGTTGATATACCAGGTTTCACTTTGGAGTAAATGCGATTTTATCATTTCCCACCGAAGTTCGATAGTTTTAAAAGATTAGAAGTTACACCAGTATACATTTTACATACTCCCTATTTTGCATTACACGATTTATCCTCAAAGCTTTCATGAAAAGCACAAAGGGGGTGAGTTTTCGTTTTGTTTTTAGATTGAGTGGATTTGCAATTATGTGTTACCTAATACCCCTATCACACTAGGACCACGATCCCGCTACAACCTCACAAATTATGAAAAATTTTGGAAGTCGTAGTAAGATCGAGGTGGTCGTGGTAAGGACGTGCCAATGTCTTCATGATCGTGTAGGTCCACGACCAACTTTGAACATGCTTAAAACATTCGTAGTGCAGTCGTGGCCAAAACTAGTCGTAGAAGAAGCGTAGGAAGGTCGTAGTAAGGACGTAGTAAGATCGGGATGGGCGTAAAAGCCTCGTATTGGTAAATCGTGGTGCAATCGGGAAGCCAATGGACAAGATTTCGCTGCAACCTTACTACGATTTCAATGAGACTATCCCGATTTCACTACGTCTTTATTACGCTTCTACTACGATATTGATACGATTACTAGTATACTACGATGAGGAAGACAATAGTACGCTGTTACTACGCGCTTGCCGTCCTTAGTACGACCTTACTAGGATACTACTACGTCCTAGACACGATGATTGCACGACCTCATTCTGTTAATATAAAAAACGGATGCAATAACTTCTATCTGTAGTTCAACCATTGACACACATGAGCAAAACCTAGTTTTGCAATCTTTAATTCAGCTGCACTGTATCGATTTGACTTATCAGGCTACACTTTTAGTTGTAAGAAGGAGAAGACATACTAGACATTGTAGGTCCTGTTGGGTGCGCCCTTGGCTTTCTGGTGAAAGAAGACTCCAGTTTGGGCATTACGACTAACTTCTGAAAGAATTAAGGATGGGGGATCAACACTCATTCTTTAATATTTTAAGGATGCCCCCAGAAATGTTTGATGAACTTTTGAACAGAATAAGTCCTCGAATTCAGAAGATAGACAGACGATTCAGAAAGGCACTAGATTCCTGTCTAAAAGTTGCTATTACCTTAAGACACTTAGCTTCTGGCGATAGGTATCAAACCCTTCAGTACGATTTCAGAGTCGCGCGCAATACTATAACTTCTTTTCTATCTGAGGTTTGCCAGGCAATTGTAGAGGAATATTCAGATGAAGTCATAGCCTGTCCAACATAACCAAATGAATGGCGATCTATTACCAAAAATTTCAGAGAAGATGGAACGTGCCACACGCTTGTGGCGCACTCGATGGAAAGCATGTTGCTACCAGAAGCCTGGCCTAAGAGCGGATCCTTGTTTCATAATTATAAAGGACTTTTTTCATTAGTGATCCTTGCCTTGGTTGATGCAGACTACAACTTTTTATGGATAGATGTAGGAGGATTTGATTTCATGTCGGACGGCCAGATTTACATCGCGTCAGAATTAAAGGAGTGTTTGGAAGATACTAGTAAGACTATTGGATCTCCAGAGTCAGATTCCTTGCCTAATGACGACCTGAACATGCCATACTTGGGTGACGACGCATTTGGTTTGAGAACTTATTTGATGGAGACATATTCTAGAGCGCAGTGACAACGTAGAGGAGTCGTGATTCGATCGGAGCAGACTTGTATTGAGATCGTAATGCGACCAGGAAGGTCGTGGTAAGGTTTTATTAGACGTAGCAAGAGCGTAACAACGTGTTACTATCGTAGCGGAACCGTAGCAGGATCTTATCACGATCATAGCAAGGTCGTGATATGAACTTAAAAACTATGAAACATTGAATATTTAAGCCGACCATACCACGATCTCACCGCGATCTTATTTTTTTTTTATAGATCGTATTGGGATCTTCATAGTCTTGGTCTAGTGTGACGGGGGCTTTATAATGCAACTGGTATATTCAGCTTTCTGAAATCTTTTATTCATGTTTAGACAAACCATTGGTGACACTTTTAGTTTTTCAAACACGTGATGATACAGAAGTAATAAGAAAATTAGGTAGTCCAACCCAGTAATGAGAAAGTGTTTTCCATAGTTAAGAGGTAACATTGCACTACTCCAGTACAATGATATTGCAAAGCAGTAATTATATCAATAAAAATCTAGCCGTTATATGCCTCTTATTGTCCAGGTCATTCTTGAAAAGTTTCAAAACTATATAGAGGTACAACAGTTTTGTAAAACCTTATATCAAGATACTTTCTCTAGATAACATACGCCTATGAAATCCTACTGTCCGAAGAGAGAAAACTAGATAA